GGGGGGAAGGCCCCGGTTCCCGTCGTTACCGCAGCGGCCCGGGCCCCGCCCAGCTTTTCCGTCTCTGCTGCTGGCGAGGCGCCTGCCACACAACCACCGGTGGCAGCTCCGGCCCGGAGCCGTCCCCGCTGCTCGCTCACCCCCGCACCCACCGGCTGCCTGCCGGGATGGGAGAACCGCTCCACCCCCCGGCTGTGACCCACCCTCCGGGACAGGCGCCAGGGTGACCAGGCCACAGCTCTGCACCTCAGTGTGTGTTTTATTGGCAGGCAGAGAAGTAAAAGATACCAGACACGAGCTCGCCACTGCCTAAAGACCGACTCTCCCTGCTGCAGGACCCAACGTGCCACAGCCCTCAGCGGCCACCTTCACCCAGGCCTTGCACACACTCAGTGCTCTGCTTTCCAAGGCAAAGACTGAAACGTAAAGCTAATCCAACACTCTCCGGTGCTTCAGGAAGCCATTTCCGTCCAAGTCAGCCCATCACATCCGTGCGCTTCCACCACAACCTCTGGAGATTGCCGACAGCACTGTTAGGAGATGAAGTGAGTCTGTGGGGTGATTTGTTCCAACTTGTGATCAGCTGGGTTTGCCGATGCTTCGTAATTGCAGATGGTGACTTCGTGGCGATGAGCCTGTATGAAGATTAAACGTGTTAGTCCAGAGGAGAGCAGAATACATGAGTCCCTCCTAAAACACCTGGCTGGCAAGAGCTGAGCAGGTTCCCATCTTGGACTTTTCATCACAGACGCCCTCACGCTCCTCCCACTACTTCCTCATCGCTAGAGCTCAACTTAAGCTACAATTTAAAGCCCTTTTTACACTATTAGCACAGTTTTGCTCATCTCTGCTCTCACCTACCTCTGTCCACTCTCCTTTCAAGCCTATGTAAAAAATCTTCGTTGTCTCTGCTCCAAAGTTCTTTGGAAAGTGGATGGAGAGGTGGTAAACATTGGAGAAACGGGCAATTCTGAAAGAAAACACACTCTGAAACTGGGGCTGTGCATACAAGCTGCCACTCCACTGCACTGTCACCTCCTCCCAGAACAGTGCCACAGCCCCACACTGTGCATAGCTCCTGCCCTAATCCGAGTCAGACTTGGGAACAAATGACTTGAGGATGCAGGAGGAGCAGTTTCCCTCACACTTGCAGTGTGGGCCAGCAAAAAGCTGCCACTGGGGCCAGGAGCAGGGGACACAACACCAGGATGATTCTGCACCCCGAGAAGCCCTGGGCCATGGGTGCAGGCACCCCACTGGCTCTGGGGAGGAGGTTTTCAGACCAGAGCTCTCACCTGACAAGGGCAGGACAGAACTGGGGAGGCAAAATCTACTGTGGGCAGCTTCGAGATACAAGGGAAGGAATGGCCCTCTGCCAACACTTTCCTAAAATTCAGCCTCACAGCAGCAGGCTGGATATAGTGCAGCTCCTGTGCTGGGGAGGAGCAGCCCCCCGCACCCCCCAGGTGCATCGGTCCGCATCGTACTTGGTGGGGTACTCCAGCTCCCCCGTTGGATCCCGGTTCAGGTTGAACATCTGGTCTGGTTCCCTGGCTGCGTCATCAAAGGACATGTGAGGAATATTCTTGAACCTGGGAAGAGAGGGAGGAAACACAGGAAGTTATTAACATACAGGTCAGCTAATTGGTCTCTTCCCCATCCATTAGCACTACCCAGATTCTTCTCAACAACAAGAAACAATTTGCTTTGTTTTCTAAAGGAAAAATACTGACACCACCACAAAGCATCATCATGTTCCAGAATGTCCAACACCCTGAAGAAATAACAAGGAGCAAAGCTGGGGAGATACAGATCTCAGCATGCTTGGATACACAAAGAAATCCAGATCCCAGTACACTGGAGACCAAGGAAAATAGGGGCTCGATAGAGGTGTATTTTTTCCCCACAAGCAAGACCTGCAGAGTACTCAGTACTCTTTCATGTGAAAATAAAAGGCAGCATTAAGAAGGATCTCCCTCCCTTTAGGAGCTAAAGCAGGCCACACAGCACAGCAGCACCACTGCCAAACACTCACAAACGTCACCTGACTGCAGGACACTCTGTCACTTGTGTCCCTCCCTCCCAGGCCTCAGTTTCCCCCCAAAATAACCCCTCTTGGCCCACTGATCCTTCTGCAGCCCACTAAGCCGCCAGCAGGTTGGTTTCTTCACAGCACAGTCAGGGTCTCAAGCAAACCTTCTCTACGAAGTAAAATCAGCACCTGATTTCTCTAGAGAAAAGGCAGCAAGTAGCCAGGCTCATCCTTATACAAGTTACAGTTTTTTTCCTCCTGGGGCCCTGGAATGACGGAGCTGCTGCAGAGTTACACTGCCTTCTCCCACACTGCGCACCCTCGCCAGTTGCTCGGGCACCCAACAGCCCGAGAATCGCTTTTCTCTTTGGCTACAAATCAATCAGTTCAGCTTAGGCTCCAGCAAAGTTAATGTTTCTTTTACTTACAGCCTCATCTCTGCCGGATGCGTACCGTCATCTTCTCCCATCACAATTACTCCTTTTAATTTCACGTTGCCCGTAAACCTGCCGAGAGACGCAGAAATGGCGTTTTCACCTCCCTTCTCTCCACATCAGCCCCGGTGACCGGAGCACACAGACGTGCCTCACTGCCAGGCACACAAAGGCGAGGCAGAAGCCAAAACGACACCTCAGGGAAAGAACTTACGGGATATTAAACAGAAGCTCCTCATCGTCGTCGCTTTCTACGAACTGGGAAGAGAGAAGAGCAGGTCAGGGCCGATGCGGGGACGCGGGTGTCGCAGCGGGGGAGCACAGGCACCGCGGGGCGGGTAACCTCGGGGACAACGCGGGGACCCGCAGCACCTCGTCTCTCCCGCACCCCCTCCCGCCGCGCGGCTCTCCTCAGGCAGCGGCACCGCTGCAGGCCCCGGCCCGGCCCGGCCCCACCTGGGCGCGGTCGCCGCGCTCCTCCCAAGCGCGGAAGACGAGGGCGCCGCTGCCCTCGCGGCGCTCGTTGAGGCACTGCAGCCGCTGCCGGTCGATGCGCAGGTAGAGC